AAAGAAAGAAAGAAACAAGAGAGGATATAGGAGAAGTCTCTGCTCAATTTTGCTGTGAACCTAAAAGTGCTCTAAAAATAAAGTCTATTAAAAACACACACACACACACACACTGAAAGGAAAGAATGAAGCCTAGCTGCACACAACCGTAACTAGCAGAGCTCACAAAGACCCCGGATCCCGCCAACCTGCCAGCTCTTCCAGCCCACTGGTGAGCAGTCTTTTCACCTGGGAAAAGCTCAATTAAAGACAGAATTACCTTTGATTTGTAACAAAAAAGGAAGTGCAGAACAGAAGTACTGGTCTTACTTGTGCTGAACTCTGCCTGCGCCTGCAGCCGCAGGTGTAGTCCATCCCCGGCGACGTACTGCAGCCCACGGCAAGAGGAAGGTACAAGCCTGACCTCTGCTGGCAGCCAGATCTCCGTGCAGCCCTCAGGCGTTACCAGCCGGAGGGAGAAGGGCCTTACTGTAATGTCCATGGGCTTTCCTCCTTCTTCTGGCTCTCTGACAATTAAAAATAAAACTCAAACACATTAGTTCTCTGATGAAAACCGCATGACAAAAGTAGAAAGAAATGGCCAAGTATCTCTGAGACTCTTCCACAGAGATTGTAAAACCATCACTCCAGAATAACAGCACAAATAGATTCTAAAAGAAAACAATCCACAGGGCTGGGGATTTAGCTCTGCGGCAAAGCGCTTGCCTGGCAAGCACAAGGTCGTGAGTTCAATTCCTGGTACCGGAAGAAAAACAAAAACAAAAAAAGAAAGCAATCTACAGTAGATTTAGATCAGGTCAGAGAGTACCTTTCACAGTCATATCGTGAAAGTCCTGCAACTCAGTTCTATTCTTGTGTCTGAGGCCAGCATTAATATCACAGTAAGTCAGTAAAGGATTGTTAACTGCTACACAGGATTTTGGTAAGGAAACCAGGACTAAGTGAAATAAAAGATACAGGAGAAAAACTTTCAGGTCATGTTTAAGAAAGAAATGAAAACACAGCGATGTATAAACACCAGGTGTGAAAGGGTACACTAAGCCATTCCTGATGAGCAGTACAGATCTCTGCACTCAGTGTAGGACACAGCGAGCAAAATGCAGTCCCTCTCCAGCAGGCATCAGGGGTATAGCGGGGAATGAAGGCGTGCGTGGAAATGACGAAGTAACACGAAGGTGGTGGTGGCACATACTATTTGAGACAGGGTCTCACTGTCCAGTTCAGGCTGGCCTTGGGCTCACTTTGTAGCCCAGGCTGGTCTCGAACTCACAACGATTCTGCTGTCTCAGCCTCCTGAGTGCTGGGATTACAGGCGTGTGCCGCCACACCCGGCCCTCTTTTGTTTTTATTTATTTTATTTTTTTGGTGCTGGGAATTGAACCCAGGACCCCAGCATGCTAAATGCCTGCTGCTCTAGCACTGATCTACAGGGCAGGCCCCTGTGGCTCTCTTAAATGCAGATGGCAAGCTATCCACTTTGTGTCACTCACATGCAAACAGCAGCCCGTCTGCTTCAGCGTCATCTAGGTACCTACAGAGGACAGGCCATGCGCTCACACATGAATCTGTCAGGCCTCTTAACTTGCCTTCGTCTTAAGGCTGCTTTCTGGCTAGTAGTGGCAACGCAGAATACCAAGAACCTGTATTTTGTTTAAGAAAAGACATCTTCGAACTCTTCAGTCAACGCAAGGTAGGCATCTAAAAGGTGAGGGAAGCACAGCAGTCAGGGAAGGAGGTAGTCAGAAGTGAGAAATGAAACAGCGTGAGTAGCATCCAGAAGGACCACCACGCATGTGAGGAAGGTATCCAAGCTGGGGACAGGAAAGCCGCTCAGCATGGCTTTTCAGAGCCTTTCTTGGCTACAGCTGCCATTGGCAAGTACAATCCTGGGGCTGAGGATTTAGTTCAGAGGCACAGCGCCTGCCTAGAAAGCGCAAGGTCGTGAATTCGATTCCCAGTACCGGGAAAAAAAAAACAAACAAAACAAACAAACAAAAAAAAGTACAATCCTTCCTTGGAGCCCATGGAAGAACGCTCCAGAGATTCCAGTGCATATGGGAATCCAGCGCCTCAAGTCCCCAACATAAAGTATCGTAGTATTTGCATGTGACCTATGCACAGCCTCCTGAAAGCTTTAAATCATCTCTACAGTACTTAGCGCCTAATACAAAGTAAATGCTATGCAAATGGTTGTTACTCTTTAGGGGATACCGATAAGGAAAATGTCTATATATGTTTACTACAGATGCAATTTTTTTCTGAACATTTTTGACCGTAGAAGCTGAACTCAAGTATTTGGAGAGCCACTGTACCATTGCGAGATGGCCTAAGAAAGATACTGCAGAGACGTATTTCCTCTCTAGTGTCTCTTTCTCTTATAAGGACATCAGCCTCACCATGGGAACTTCATCCTCAGGACCGCATCTAAACCTAATGACCGACCAAAGGCCCCGCCTCCTAACAGCATTCCGCTGAGGGCTTAGGGCAGTGTGGCGAACCTGTGGCACACACAGCAGGTATCACTGAATGCTCTAAAAGGCGCGCCATCACTGGCTTTGGGTTAACATATGAATTTCTCGTAGATACAAACATTCACTTTAAAACAGGGTCCAAGCAGATGGGTAAGTGTCAATAACGAGAAGGGAGGGGGTGCAGGAAAGGAAGCCAGCAGAAACCAGTCACCTAGAGAGGGGGCTGAGAGGGAAATAACAATCGTGAGGTTAGGGAGGCCAGGAATCTCACCGAGGGAGAAAACGGTTCCAAAGAGAAAGGGAGAAAACTAAAATGGACACTGCGGCAGTGGACTGGAATCAGAAACATCTGTGTGTGCAGTCCTGGTTTTCAATACATAGAGAGGTAATCTTAGGAAATGTAAATGCCTTTGTATGTATGCACGCGCATCCACGTGTCTTGGTTACTTCTTCATTGCTGAGATAAAATACACAACACCCACAAGTCAAGAGAGGAGAGGTTTGTTTAGGTCACACTTTGTACAGGGTGCAGTCCATAATCAGCCGGCTGCAAGGCAATGTAGCACCCAGAGGGCAAGGCAGACGAGAAACAGCCCAGAGCAGAGCAGGTAAGAGGCAGCAGGCAGGGGCACAGCCTCCCTCTCCCATCCAGGCTACAAGCCTTCTGGGTGGTGCGGCCCACACCCAGGGTGAGGTCTCCCATTACCCACACTCAGAACTATGAAAAAACAACTGTAAACTAATCCAGTACACACCCTTAATCCACATTCACACACCCTAGATCTAGCCACTTCCAAAAACCTCCAGCCATGACCAGGAGGTTTTAGGGGGGACATCCAGACACAAGCCGTAATAATATACAAACATCATATGTACACCACATGCACATACATACACACACACACACACACACACTCTCACTCTCTCTCTCTCTCTCTCTCTCTCTCTCACACACACACACACACACAGCCTGTCTCTGGGGGAAGTGACTCCAAATAGTAATGAGCACACTTTAGCACTCAGATCTGGGTCTCTGAGGCCACATTATACAAAATAAACCACCAAGGTTCCTTGAGGAAAATGACCACAACAGGGCTGGAACAGGAAAAGAATGGGACAAGCCCCGGACACCTTGCTATGCAACAAAGTGAGGAAACCAAAGAACGACAGGGGAATGTCCAAAAAGGACACCCTGAAGAGATTTCCCACAGCCAGATGTGGTGGCGCACGCCTGTAATCCCAGCACTGGGGAGGCTGAGGCAGGAGGATCGTTGAGAGTTTGAGGCCAGCCTGACTGCATAATGGACTCTGTCTCAAAAACACACAAAGAAAGAGACTTCCCTGGCTGCATCAGATTCAATTTGATTAATACCCAAAAAAAGGCAAGGTCTATGTGGTTTTCCTAATGCAGATGAAGAAAAGTAAAATCTGATAAGGAATAGGACACAGTAGTTACAGTCTCATATCTCTCCAATACTTTTTGATTCCAAAAAAAGCATGATTTTAAAACACAGGAGTCCAACAGATACCACCTCACTCAGTCCAACAGATACCACCTTACTCAGTCCAACAGATACCCCCTGTTCAAGGTTACCGGGAATGGTTAACAGTGAAACAAAATCATGAGCCACCTGGCAGGATACAACAAGAACACAGAAACATGGCGTTATTCCTGCCAAAAATGCACAACCTGACTCTTTCTTGAGGAAGTACAAAAACCCAAATGGAGGAATGTCCTACACAACAACCATGCTATAATCTTAACAGTTTTAAGATCACCAAAGTGAAAGAAAAAGAGCAACTCTCCCAGACTGAAAAGGACTGAGGAAGCACGACAATGACAGGTAATGCACAGCTGGGCACGGTAGTAGCTGCCTGTAATCTCAGCAGTTCAGGAGACCGAAGCAGGAAGATCTCAGCTGAGGCAATTTAGTGACTCAGCCAGGTCCTGAGGATGCAGTTCAGTGAGAGGCCCTGTGTTCAGTCCCTAAAAGGATAATGCATGAATCTGACCTGGAGATTCTTTCACTGTTAGAAATCACATGGAAAACTGGCAAATCGTGCAGGAGGTCTGAGTGTACTCTGGTAGTAACGTATTTCCCAAGTTTGAGGTCGCCTAGTTGTTATTTAACAGTCTCTTCCTGAGCTGGGCATGGTGGTGCATGCCTGTAATCACAGCATCCAGGATACTGATTGAGCCAGGAGGCGTTTGAAGCCAGGAGAAAGGGAGAAGGGGAGGGAGAGGGAGAGCGAGAGGGAGAGAGAGAGGGAGAGGGAGAAGGGGAGGGAGAGGGAGAGGGAGGGGGGGGAGGGGGGGGGGGAGGGGGGGGGGGGGGGAGAGGGAGAGGGAGAGGGAGAGGTGGGAGGGGGATGGGGAGTGGGACAAGAAGGAGAGAGGGAGGGACAGAGAAAGAGAGACGGAGAGGGAGAGAGGAGAGGACAGGGAGAAATGGGGAGAGGGGGAGACAGGGAGAGAGGGAGGGAGGGAACGAAAGGGAGACGGAGAGAGGGACAGAGAGAGGGAGGGAGGGCAAGAGAGAAGAGGGGGAGAGGAGGGAGGAGAGGGAGGGAGGGGGAGGGGGAAGGCAGGGGAAAGGGAAGGGGAGGGAGGGGAGGGAGGACAAGCCTCCCTGTGTCCCCTTACATTGATTGTATGCAGGCTGTCCTCCCTGGGGGGACATCCAGACACAAACCGTAACATGAACAGTGAAAGTGTTATTGGAAAGCCAAGGTTGTGTCCTATGGTGATGAAAAATGAAGCCACAGACAGAGGAGGTAGAGTGCAAGCAAATTTATTTAAAAGGTATAAAGGCGGGGCTGGGGATTTAGCTCAGCGGCAAAAGCGCCTGCCTGGCAAGCGCAAGGTCGTGAGTTCGGTTCCCGGTACCGGAGAAAAACCAAAACATAAAAAAATAAAAGGTATAAAGGCAAGAAAGAAAAGGATATAAGGGAAGGAACTAAAGCTCGCACCAGCCGGGAGGGGCTCTGAGTAGGGTACCCCAAGGGCTCTTTGTCTGGGGGTTTTATGAAATGCA